CTGTAGCTGCCCCTAGCAAAACATGCTGTTCAAAATTCAGAGGTGAGGAAATGTCTAGAAAGGTGTAAAGTTTGTACACATCATCGGAGGTGTATTAGCATGCTCAAATATTCCTCTGTGGCCTTGCATGAAATTTCCCTTGTTGGTGAGAGTTTTATGCACTTCACCTGTAACTTCAGCCCACAATGCACAATTGTGAGTTTTCTCTGTCACAGTTCAGGGACAGATCTCCTGTGAATTTCAAAGGAACTTAATCCAACCCTAAGCAAACAAACAAACCAAAACAAAGAAAAAGAAGAAGAAAAAAAAGTTCAAGTTAAAGTAAAACCTGCTTGAGGAGAAATTTCTTTAATTCTCCTCTCCCTGGCCTGATCTCAGACTTCAGTGTCACGTCACATAATGAACAGAAAGCATTTGGGGGAGTCTTCTGCTTTGAAAAGGACCCTAATAGGGATGTGGGAAGGAAATTCCTGAGACACCACTGTCATCACACAGGAAGCAGGATGCAAATGCCATAGCAAAAATAATATATAGGAGAACTTCAGAGTCTGGGAGAATGCTTCCAGCCCATGTTGGCAGGCATCTTGTTACAATTATTTGAAAGGTTGTAATGATGGTATTAATAGAGAATTTGCTATTGCCTTTTGCTATATTGCCATTACAGTCATGCCTAGAGGCTCTAAACCAGATTGAGACCTGTTAAGTCAAGCAGCATGTATATCCAGTAAGATAAATAGTCTCTATCTGTACCTTTATGCATAAGAGAAACAGAGTTAATAATGTTGTACAGGCAGTGGTCTGAAACACAAAAGGTTTAAGTCACTTAGCACAGGAAAGCGATGAGATCTACATCTGTATCTCCCAGGCTCCGGTTCCTCCCTGCATTGCCATGAGCCTGTTTGCCTCTTTAGTATCTCATTGTACAACAGATGGAGGCAGTTGATATCAATAATTTTTTAGCATCATATAAATATAGATTGCATTGCTGAGAACGGGGCTGAAAGAGAATGGGCACATACCTTAATGTTCTATAATATACTATCCAATTATTGTGCTAAAGGAACTAAGCTACATGTCCGCTTTAAGTTTAATTTATAAAATTAAATCACAAATGTCACCCCATACAAATGACCGTATGCAGAAGAATGAGTCACATTATAACAGACAAGATGTATATGAAATCTGTGAATTTGCAAGCAGACACATTAATTATGTCTGAATTATTGGCAGGCTTTGCCCATCTCCAATACCTCTACTCAAATGAAAAAATATTATTAACCTTTGGTGTGACACATGCAAATAAAATAAGATGATTCAACAGCAAATTCAAGTATCTAACCATCGAAGTTTTAAGATGAGCAAATTTATTTTAGGCATTGGACAAGTATGTCAGCTTGGTATTGGAAAGCAAGTATTTCTGCAGGTTGCAGTGCTACTTAACATCATAAAAGCTTCAATTATTATGCTATCATTTTTAACTGACTGCTACATGATGGAGGTGCTGAGTGGAATATGCATCAAAATATTGCCATTCAGATATATATATACTGCCTCAAATATCCAAGAAGCCAGTTGGGCAGCAGTAGGTGCACAAACAGAAACTAGAGTGTTGCAACCTAAGATTGGATCAGAAGCTAGTTTACATGATGATTTCATCTAGCTTGCTGTCTTTTAGCTGCGGCCTTGCAGTTGCCAAAGGATGGCTATTGAAACTCTTACCTCAAGCCCTGTGGTGTTAAGCCGTCTTCCTGTTCACTAAAAACTTCCACAGGCAAGTCTCTACGGTGCCACCAAAACAGGGCCAAAGAACGTCCAGGGAAGGGCCCCAAAGTGACCACCCTGGATTTTGAAGAACCCATTTTAATATAGCTGCCTTTTAAATTCTTCCTCCTTTACCTGCTCTCTGTTGTTTCTTTGCTAATTTTCTTTTCTTATTTCTTTTCCCCTTCCCAAAAGTCCAAAATATTTTGCATTGTGTTTTGTTATTGTAAATCTCAGCTGTTTTACTTTCTACCTGACTGTTACATCCCTGTGGGGAGCAGGGAGCAAAAGGGACATGAATGCTGCTGGCCTTCAGCCTCTGAAATGGCAAGTCTTCCTTCTTGAGAGGAATGGCAGAGGGTATTTTCCCACCCTGCTCTAACCCCCAGTGTAGGTGACTAAAAGCATAAAAGTTCTGCTGAGGCTCAAAGAGATTCCTTATTTTGGCTTTATAGCGAGGAGTGTTACGGGATTTAATTCCTATAATGCCTCAAATGTAAGGTATGGACAGAGATGCAAAAAATGTTATTGTGCTATAATTCATCTTTCATCAGAAATCTCTGCTAGATTTGTTTATATATTTGGTTCCTTAAGTTATGCAGTCCAAAGCTGGAATAGGGTATTACTTATGGCTCGGATATGCCAGTCCTGGAGCATTCTGTAAACATGCAACATTATACAATAAAAGGCAATACATGCTTTTTTTCCACCGTACATTTCAATTTTTGTGTAGATTTGGATGATTCTTCAGTTACATTTTGGTGCATTAGTCGTTTTCTAGTTGATTCAGTACTGTCTGTTGACACAGCCTTGCACCTTTGCAGAATTTAGTACTGTTAGCCTAGGCATCTTAAGAAACAGTAGCTTCTTACATCCTCTTCTGACGTTTATCTGTATCTCTTTACCTTCAGACTAATATGATAAGGGTCAGCAGGATGTATGGTCTTATATTCTTCCATATTTATTTATTTTTAGGGATTTTGAGTGGTCAGAAAAAAAGAATAACAACAAATGCATGTCTTCATGCTCACAGTAGGGGAAGCAGCTATTTTTTCACCACAGAGACATTTGGCAGGAAACTCGCAATATTGGCCTCTTTTTATGCAAACCTGTACTTTTATTTATCTAAAGCATTTTTTGCAAACCTATAATCTTATTCATCTCCAGTATTGTATTCAGTGGTCTGAAAATTAACATTCCTTCACCTGCAGTTTCAGGACAGATATTATTTGAATCAGCAAGGGCTGTGGAAATGCCATTTGTTTGTACTTTAAGTTCTCAGAAATGAATCAGAAGCGGAGAAGGTGCAGACTCCTAATGCCTTAGATGAAACTGAGTCACCTTCTTTTGAGGAGAAGGGCTGCTGCAGATGTGGTATGTGCAGAGAATTCTCATGCAAGAGCTAGATTAATCCTTGAGCAGTAATGTGCCATTTCACAATTACCAAGCAGTTACAAATGAAGCAGCCAGGGGATTAAGGTATTATTCATTTCAGCTGCCTCAGAATACAAAGAAAGTTACCTCATCTCTCAGATAGGTGCTTCCAGCCTGATTACCTGGAGACTGCAGGCATTAGAAAGTGAATCCAAAAAACTATTTTAATGAAAAATCTATTTAATACATATTAACAAAAAATCCATATTTGCCTGATAGTTTTTTTTTAATGCCATTAGCACTTAGTCTGTTAATGTTGTGGTATAAGGCACTCAAAATGTGATAGCTAGGGTGAACTTAAAAATTCAATGCTCCATCCTTTTGTGTAATTGGTAATGTGATATTTTAGTTGCAAAATCAAAATGAAATCCTGCTTTAACTGTAAGGTTGTCAATCCAGAATAATTCCATTGAGGAAGAGTAATAGATTTTACAATTAGAAAAGATTGTTATTATCATCTAACATGGCCTCATACAGAATACCAACTCCTCTCCAGAAATTCCATTTGGAAGCTCTTTTTTTTTTTTTTTTTTTTTTTTTTTTCCTCTTACTGGAGATGCAGCAAATCTTCAGAAAGACAAGCAAATTTGATTTAAAGACAGCAAGTGATGGAGAAATGGCTGTATTCCTAGGTAAATTATTGCAGCGTTTAAATATCCTCTTTGTTAAGATACCTGAAGAGACATGGAATTTGCCATGGAAAAATACCAAATCTCATTTGGAATGGGCTGAGCAGAAGGTAAAAGCTGAATTGTTCCAGGTATGCAGGCTGGGTCAGGAGTCTCTACTTTGTATTTTGTTGTGCAGTTACATCCTAAGAGACAATACATAAAGCCTATGTTTTATAGCCTCACGACTCTAGTATTTCATGGCTATGCTAAAACTTCAGCTTTTATTTCAAAATTGTTATTCACACTCAGACGTGCAAACAAGGCTTTGAAAACAGAAACAGAGAATGGCTCCAGTGCTCCAACTATTTGAGTTTACAGACAGTTTGAAACAGTAGAATGGAAATACTGAGATGATTGTATTGAGGATTTCTACTATTAATTTTAACCTGTGGGCATTTGGGTCTCTCCCTTCCCCCGGGTATGAAGGAAGACTCCCCATATGCCACTGTCTGGTAAGCCCGAAGGCAGCCACAAGAGTAGAATATAACCTCTGCGTGGTAACTGTCATAGTTTCTTGTCCTCATCTTCTTTCCTCTATGACCTCTTACACTCCTTTCCTTCTCGCATTTCCTCCAGCATTTCCCATATGGACATGGAATATTTTGTTGCTGTTCCTTTCCCATAGAACATTTTACCTCCTGAGTAATCCCCAGTGAAAGAGCTCGTGCTGCCCTGTAAAGCATCCTGGGGCGCAGTAGGGTGGCCAGGCTACGGAGATGAGCAGACAAACTGCTGCTTGACTTGTGTAAGTGTGGGCATGGGGGTGAGAGGGGGCTGCATAAAACTGGTTGTGTGGTCATGAGGGGCAAGGCTTCCATTACAACAGAAAGTAAACACACTACACAGAATCCAAGCATGCTTTGGTGTAAAGCCATCTAGCAAGCACCCTGGTTTTAACCTACCACCCTGCTAGCTGGCCCCAAGCCCTGGATGAAACACTCTTAAGAATAATTTCAGTAGTCTTGAAATGAAGCTGTTTCTGGTGGAGAACCTGGCCATCATTCTGTACCAGGAGCACTGGCTTTCCTCGTCATAGTGGCTGTTACTTAAAAAGTTACAGCTGCTTCCAGAGTACCTTTTTCTTTATTTTTTTTTTACTTTAACATATAATAACAACAGAAATAACACCACAGGCAAGATGACATAATACTTTACTGTTGATATTTCAGGTTGGTGTTGCTTTCCATCCACATGTGGAACTCGATTGTTATAGACATAGTTCAAGTCTTTTAACACCTTGGTGTGTTACAGGGTAAAATACCGCTTTACAATTCTTGTATGTGTTAGTGTGAGTGATGAGAAGTGGTTCACAGGCAGAAGTCAGAGGTGGAAGCAAGGAACTACCTGCCTTTGTGGCTAGCTGAACCAAAGTAGCCCTAAAAACATGACTGCTCTTCAGGAGGCTGGTACAAGTGTAGGAGAGGTAATGTCCTTCGGACAGGGTACCAAAAACTGGTCAGTCATCTATCATCAGAATGGGTTCCTGGTGAAAGGACTTCCATAAGCCCTCTTCAGAGGGAAGTAAACTGAGGAACAGAAACATTTGTTCTGCATTATGTTATATCTGGATTTGCTGCTGCAAGTGAAGTTGCCACGTGCTTAGACCACAGGAGCTGTTGAAGAGGCAGCCAAGAAAATGCCATAGCAAGGGCAAAATGACCTGTGTTGCAATACTGTACTATAATGTAACAGCACCTTTGTTGTTATTTCTTATCAGTTTTAACCTAACAACTCCAGGTTTCCTTTAGAAAAATTGTAAGAGAGTCTGAAAGGTGTGGGGAGATTCTAGTCTCACAGTCTTTAAGCAGGGTACTGAAGTTTGTCAGCAAGACAGGAAATTAATAGTTTTGAGGCTGTGTCAGCTTTGTTTCACAATATAATTTGGACTGAGTGACATAGCTGTTCCCCAGTAGCACATATGTTCTCATTTAACTGGCCTTCAAACAATGCAGCCACTACCCTTCTCCCGGTTCTTATGGATTAGCTTGATGACTAATTTTGGTAAAGTTCAGGGTGACGTGCAATACGCTGCTCATCTGATAAGCCGCGGACACGTCACCAGAGCTGAGTGATGCTGCTTTCTGAAGGAATTCACATTTTGGAATTTCTCATCCGCTCCCACAAATCCTCAGCTGAGAAGGCAAGATCAGGACACACGCTTAAAAACCTGGGAATGGCCCTGTGTCAGACACAACAACGGATGCAGTGCCCAGAAGTGTAGGAGTTGTAGGGCTGATTTATGAGCGTGCTATGGGAGAGAGTATTCCAAAAGGCCTCTTGCCATTTCCTCCTAGCGCAACGGCTATGAGGACCGGCCTTGCAGCAGGAGAGAGGTCAGCAGAACACGATTACATAAGGCTGCTTGCTATGCCGAGAAACACAGATGGCTGAAAAGTGTTTCATTTTTTTAAACGAAGTCACATGCGGGAGAGCAGCAGTTTGAGGCAGACAAGGAGTCTCCGAAGAGCAAATACAGCAAGAGTTGGTTTGTTCTCGTTTTAATTGAAAATAAGGTTGGAATCTGTCCAGGAAGTAGGTTTTGAAGGAAATGGTTGGCTCGCTCACAGTCCAAGCAATTTAGAATCACCTCCCATTATTTGTATTTCATCTTCAAGCACTTTGCAGACGTATTCAGATGCTTGTATAGATAGCCATCTAGAAGAAACTAGGTCTAAATTCAGATGGGATCATCTGCTTGGATTGAATTCCACACAGTGCAGCAAAACAGGGTTTCAGCAGTTCTTTGCTTCTCAGTAAACAGTCATTCACCACTATTTGGTATGAAATACACTGCTGCTTCTCCTTTTTACCCCAATATTGTTCTGTCACATGTTAATCCAGAATTACATTTTGTTCTTGATAGATGGCTACAGAAGAACAAACCTCAGTACAGAAGTTACAGCTAGTGCTATACAGATTTACAAACTGAAATTTCTGCTCTTGCTGACCTTTTTGCAATTTTATTGTTTTATTTTTTTTCCTTTTTGATCTTTGTTGCAATTTAAAACTCTCTCTGATTTCTTTTCATCTCTAAGGGCTAAAGACCGAGATTTCCTGACTTACAGTGGCCTTTTTTCTCCTTTTAATTTAATTCATTACTGCCTATAATAAGCCTTTGCTTTAAAAATATTTTATAACAAAATCAAACCAAAGTGAAAGAAAAGTTACTATAGAGCTACAGTTATAACTGTCAGGGTGAAAATCAATTTCAGACACAGATGTACAAGGAATAACATTTCAACAAGTTGATTTATAAACTATGCTAGACATTATATATTTAAGCAAAATCAGCGTTCCTGAAAAGTACTAGAATGACAGTGCTGGAAATTGAATACCTCTCTTCGGTGTGACAATAGCACTATTTACACTGTGTTTCCTTTTTTTTTTTTTTTTTGCAAATGAAGATGTGTTTTCTTTGCCTTGCCTCTCAGTGGACACATCATATAGGGAATTTGCAATTTTATTCAGCATCATCCTGAGCCTAAGGCAAACAGCAGGAACTCTTGATCCTGACAGCTTTTTGCACAGCCTACTTTGAAATACCTGAGAGGATGGAGACTCCATAGTCTTCTCAAGTGATCTATTCCACTGCAATTACCATCACCCTTAAGTCCTGTAAGCTTTTCTACATGTCTTAAACTAAATCTGCCATATTGCAGTTAAGTTGGTTCTTCTTCATTTCACCAGGGACATGGAGAATAGATTATTATGTTCCTCCTTTTTGCTGTGATTTGGACAAAGACTTAAAACTAAGTGGGAGAACAGATAGCATAATAGGGTCGCAGGGTGGACATGAAGAAACACAGTAGACCATCTGCTCAGCATCTTAAACAAGTGCGTATCAATCTACGTGTGAGATGAAAGGAGCTTGGGAGTAAGGTAGAGAATCTGGGAGTCCTGCTGCCCAATTGATGTGATGTCTGAATTGGCAAAGCAGACCCGGGCTGGACTGAGTCATGGCTTTTCCATTAGAAAGCTCTAGCCTGTGGAGGGAGGTCCTCCGCTGGGAGTTTTCTCTTCTCTAGATCAAAACCACACAGTTCGTTGAAACTTGTCTTTGTAAATTTTATCTTTTGAACATTTTCTAATCTTTTTGCTCCTCTCCAGTGGACTGAATCCAGACGGAAAAAGATCCTGAACAGATAATCCAGTGATCATCTAAGAGCTGAGTCAGAAGTGTGGTCTCTTGCGTCAGAAATGTGGTCTCTTAAGCCCTAAACGGATGCTTCTTCATAGCTGACCAAGTGTCTTCTCTTGACTCCTCAGAATGATGCAGCTGCACCCTTAAAGTATAACGGGGCCAGGTGAACCTCAGTGTTTTTCTGTTTTCTAGCAAAGCGCCCACTAACACAGCTATGATGGGTACACCTGTTCAACCAGAACTGGGTTGTGCTTAGATCTCCATTTCAATGAGACATTCAAACAGATACTCAGTAGCCTTTAACTATCCCCCTACAATCAGAGGACCTTTTTAACGTGCATGTCTAGGGAAACAAAGAAGGCTCTGCAGTGATAAGGAACAGTTTGTAGTCGCTCCATCATCCATATACTGGTTTTTCTGTTAGACAGGAAAGTGCCTGGTGTCCCAGCAAAACATAACGTGAGAATGCCATGCCCAGCTGCGTGCAGAGGAAGAGTATCACAGAGCCAGGAGCCAAGAGAGGGGTGCAGCATCTGGTGGCAGCAGAAGGATGTGCCTGCGAGCACCATCCTTTGAAGCACGGGGCCTCCGCTAAATGTCTTCCTCCTGGCACCACCCCCCCTCTGCAGTGGGACCCCATATGCCGAGCACAGCTAGTGAGGGAGTAATAAATCAGGGTGAGCAGCTGTGCCTGCCAGGAAAGGTCAGGCAGCAGGAGCAAAGCTGGGGGACAGTGATGCGAGCGTGGGGTGGGATGCAGGGAAGGAGCTGGAGGCAGCTCTGAGCCATGCAAGGCTCATACAAGGGGCATGAAAGGTAGCAACCTCTTCAAAGGGAGAAGATGGGTTAAAAAAACGATGCTGCACTCATTTGGTGTAAAGTGCTCGAGAAGTTGAGGTCAGTGAGAGAACCCAAATTAGTGTGGAACAGGAAATACTGTTTAACAAAGGGAAAAAAGGTGTCAAACAGTAAGACACAGTCACTTAACTAGAATCTGGGTGGTTTTTGTAGAGACACAACAGGAAATTTTCCACAATACGTGGCAATTACTGATATAGTATTTTTGACCTATCACATTGAAAAAAAAGCTAAGTTTTCTGAAGACAGAAGGGCTTGTTTCTTGGGCCTCATTGATTGTGTACAGACACCGTTCTTTGAAGGGTTGAGGGGGGGAGACGAGAGGTTTCTTGTGGAGCTGAAGACTCAATAGCAGGCTGGTAAATTCTGTAAAGATTTCACTTCTCCAGTCATGCAGTACTCAGAAACAAGCCAGGATGCCTCTGATTTCTAGTTGCTAATGAAATTGTATCGTGCTATTGCTTTGCTACTTACCAAAGCACCTTGCAGTGTTTAGATGCCAGGCGTGCTAGTTTTTCTTCCCGTCTTTTAGCCCGGTTCAGCTGTGACCGGCTCATTTCTTCGGGAAGCCGGGTAGCCACCTCTGCTGAAACCCCGGCAGATCCGCAATACGCATTCTCAGTGGAGGGAGGGCAGCAATTATTGTCTCCGCAGCCCCCCAGACCCCTTAATTCCCTCTCCCCCCTCCTGCACCCGGCTGGGCTCCGCATCCCTCGGGCCGGGGCTGGGCGGCGTGCTCAGAGCTCCCCCCGCCGTCCGGCGCTGCTCCGGCTGGCAAGAGGGAAGGTCTGCGGGAGTTTCTTCCTTCACTTACAGCAGAATGAGGGGCCGGCGGGTTTTGGTGGGTTTCCTTTTATTTTCTTCGAGGTTCTTCTTTCCTGCAGGGTAGCTAGAGGCGAGTGTTGCAGGCTTTCGCACTGAAGGGACGCGATGGCTCACGTGGAATTGCTCTGTGGCATCACCCTCGCTTACTGACCCCACCACCCTGTAGCCCCCCAGCCCAAACAAGGATCTGGGACAAGGATTATCACCCGCGGGCTTTGGCACAGGATCACAGCAGGTCAGCAAACAAATTTGTCCCAACACAAGGTTGCCCCTTGGGCTGCAGGGGTACAGGGAGGCAGAGGCAGGGAGGATGAAAACGTCCTTAAAAGTCAGAAGTTCCTGAACTGAGCTAACCAGACAGCTCAACATGCGGAGTTTGCTACAACAACAGCTCCTCTCTGTGTCACTGAGATGGCTCTTTCAGCAGCTACGTCTTTACGCAGAGAAGCGGCGCTGCCTGGGCAGGCAGTTTGTTGGTATCAGCTCTGCGGTGAGAGCCTCTCAGCATCTGACATCTCCAGAGCCTCCACTGTTTCACCTTTCACAGGGGTCGTAGTCTGCTTCTCTTCTTTGCTTCTGTTGAAGTTTTTTATTCTTCTTCCAAAGCGGTTTTGCAAATCCTGCCCCCCACCCCTTATCTGCTAATTAACCCTTTTCCTCATCAGACATCAGTAAGACTTTTCAAATATAATTACAATTTAATCTGTTTTTCCCTGTAGGCCGTTTGTTTCCCTTTACACTTTGAGTTTCCTTTATTTCTGCTGCTAAATTGTTCTCCGTTTTCATCCTTCTCATGGTCTCACTCTTTTCATTAGTCCCACATTCTCCAAAAAATTCTTTGCGGTCACAGTATCAATCGGCGAAAAGAAATGTGGCCAACAGCTGAAAGTTGTCCTTTTGATCAATTCAGCCAAGAAACTGCTTACAGCCTCCTGGCTCCACTCACAGACTACCATTCAGTGACCTCTCCAAGGGTCAAGTACTAACAGGGATCGGTATTCATGTACAGAGCATTTCCAACCACTGTATCCTGAAACATGAATTACAGCATTCTGTATTCCAAGAGGCAACTTTGAATTATTTTATTTGTCAAAATGCAGCACCTCAACTCACTTGGGGCAAAGTGTTTTCTTCTGAGGACATACTTTATCAAAATGCTCTCCTCTGTGGGGCAAGAAATTTTCTGTGAAGTTACCACGGACTAAATGGTTTCCCCTCCTCCGATTCGCACTGTGTTTGATATTATCTTGGCTGTGATTTCATCAGAAACCGTGAACAAAACAGTGTGGTAAGGCAGCGAGCAGAAGACCTTCACAGGAAAATTAAATGACACAAGAAGTGGCGTTAGAGATTTGTAATGAGGGGGCTGCTGAGAGAATGCTGGCAGCATAAATGTCAGGGAACAAGCAAGCTGTGAGAGGTGTGATTGCTCAAATGAGTGTTGAACGTTCCTGGTTATGAAAGGCCCCCGTGCCATTTTCCATGCAAGTAGCAATGTGAAAATCCAATGATCCACCAAATTCTTTCATTCTCCTCGTCACATAAAGTTCCTTATCTAGTTGCAATTTGTTATGCACTTCTTCCTCCTTTGTCTTTTACGCACAAAGGCGTTCTCATCCCAGCACTGCAGAAAGAATGAATGTGTTCCTGCGTGTTGTGAACAGAGCCGGCTTAAATTTCCTAGATAAAACATAGCTTGGACAATAATAGTGTCTTCAGGAGAGGTTGTTTTTTAATATGCTTTTTCACATGCTAGTTTTAAAAAATGGAAAACTTGACATCAGTACAGATAACTCCAGTTGGTGATAACTAGGATTTGGTAATCCAAAAGAATTAGTTGTCATTTCAGTGAACACTGAAGGGCTTGGAAACTGGGTACATGATAAGTATAGAAGAATATAAATGGTTTTGAAGCCTAATTCTTTGGTTTAGGTCATGCCTAAATTCACACTGCATGAACTCCCTTTCTGGATGAAAATCACATTGAAAAGGTGGCATTCTTAGTGTATACTCTATTTCTATACCAATGGCAGGCTTCAGGAAACCCTCCCTTCAGCAGCCACAGTAAAGTATCCCCAAGGTTTTGACTGCAGTTTTGCTGGACCTTACATGCCTTCTCTGTTAGGTGACTGATTTTGCTGGTTCACAGAGCAGTTAAGAGAAGTATCACTGGGAAGTAAAAATCATCATTGCATCTTCTGTAGGTGCAATACTTAGAGATTCAGTCTGTGAGCTGAACAACCCCTCCTCACTCTCTGTGTCCTGAAGAAGACAGGTCTGATGAGGGACTCCTGCAAGAGGCAAACGAAATGCTCATCTCCATTCTCATTAGTTGCTGAGAGATTTAACCTAGGAAGGGAGAAGGAGCTCCCTGGGGCAAGGCCCACCAGCACCCTGTCAGGGTAGCAAAGGGAGCTGTGCATTCCCTAGGGCAGGGGCACGCTCAGGTAAAGCTGGAGGAATAAAAAGGATTGGCTTGGTGCTGCAGTGCTGAAAATCCCTGCAACTGACACATGAAGGTGAGAAGAAACACAGCTGGAGAAAAGAAAAACAAAAATCACTTTGGACCAACAAGAAACATTTCATTCAGCTGCAACCTACTTATTTTAGGTGCATAGATATAGGGAATATGAATTTTGTTCAAGCTTTTTTTCCTTCAGTTTATGTCAACTTTAAATCACATTAATGTTAAGATGAATAAGATTCCAACCAAAACGGGGAAATCTAAAGAGCTTCTCTGAATTAATAACAGTAATGAAAGAAAATATTTCCAAAACAAGGATTTCATGATGCCAGCATCTAAATGAGGCTTTTGAAGTCCCTCAGCACACACATGCACCCACTTTTCTTATTGGCCAAATGCTGAGTTCAGTGAAACATCCCATCCTTCAGTGTGTTTACTGGTTGTTACACACCAGTGCCAAAATGACTTGGGGAATTATCCCAGGCTACTGGGTATAACGATGCTGGGGAGAGAGAGAATAAACTTGGTCTTAAGGCTGTATTGTATTACGGTATGCAATTAATGGCTGTGTTGGGAGAGCAAATATCTGGGAACATAAATTTAATTATCACCTAGGGGCTACCAGGGAAAAGCAGAAAGTTTAACATCATCAGTTAGGCTGAAGAGCTCCCACCCCAGGGGCTCAGATCACTTTGCTGGGAGAGCTCGCAGCCCCATCAGACACACATAGAGGGTAAAGCAAGAAGTAGCATCCAAAAGTTTGGTACAATCTCTGACCTAATACAATGTGAGTTCTTTCTTTATTGATTTGAAATCCTCCTGTTTTTCTGGTCTCACTCATACTTTTTCACTTCTGGCATCGGTAATATCTGTCATAAGGAACATAACTCAAGTGACCTAATTTTTGGCAGTTATGAGAGCTGTAAAATAAAGTACTACTCTTATTTCACACCATTAGGTCAAATTAACTTTATCAGCTGGAACTCATCTTGGTGACCAGAGGCTGTGAAGAGCCCCCTTGTGCTCCTTGGTTCTGGTTGTGCAATTGCTGCCAAATGAAGAAATGTCTGTACCCTCTGAGCTGCAGAGGGCAGCTGTGAGTCCCAAGCTTGGACGGTCTGGCAATGCTCTTCCATCATGCAGGTATTTCCTAACATGTCTTGCAGACCCAAATTTCTCTCCTCTTTTGGGGCCAGAGTTGCTTTCCCACCCAAATGCTTAGCACTTCCATCGATTTCCAGACTTATCCAGAGTAAAATATTTCAGTGAGAAACACATAGTTGATAAAGCTATGTTCAGGGAAATTCTTCATTGTTGTCTGCCTCAGCAGTGAACCAGCAGAAAAATCCCAGCCAACAAACTGTGGTGGTGTCCAGGGCTGGGGGATAGTGAGCTGCTGGGGTTAGAAAGGAAAACAAACAAACAAACAAAAACAACACTGTCCCACCACCAACAAAACCAACATATCTTTCACATCTTTTCTTGTAAGACTGATTCTTGTTTGTAGGGGCAATACTTTACATCAACTTCTCAATGAAATCTGTCTTGAAGTGTCCATGGTGCACCGGGTGCAATGAAACAAACCTAAGTGAGCCTCATGTTTATGCTTCTTCCTCTCCTTTTTCAGGTTATTGCTCCCTTCTGCAACCTGACTTTGCTTTCATCTTTTCTCCTTCAAATAGTCCCTTATGAATCCTGTTTCTCATCACAAAGCTTCCATTTTTTCCACTTCTTCTGTAACAGTCATATCTTTGAGAGATGCCATCAGTAAACAGAGAGTTGTGTGGTCTAGAGATCTGTGTAATTAAGTAGTCAGAGCTCGCACCCTGAAATAAATGGATCGCTGCTAAATTGCTTGGCTCTCGGTGATTGCTGAACACTGGAATTACAGAGCTAAGGAACCACTGGTAGCAATTTACCTCTCCAAAACACTCTGGAAATGTGGATGACAATGGAAATGTGCTCAAATAGTGCTGGCAGCAGTGGGAGGCAGTCATAAGGAAGACAGACAGAATATAGCCTCGTTTTTATGACAATACATGACTGATATTTTTGATAGCTTTCCATTAACTCAGGCAAAGATGACTATGATATTCCACACTACAGAAATTTGAGGACCGAGTCCTGCATTCCAGGGAAAAGTGCTACGTACAAGAAACAGCTTTTTAAAAGAGCAGAAAAAGAACTCAGAAAATTGTGAGTCTGATCTGATGCTGAAGAATTGGTTTGTCAATTTGCAGGGGACTGGCTGAGTTCCTGATCAGGGCTTATGGACAGGGGTGTAAGGAAAGAGGTTAAGAGCGAGACTTTTGGAAAATC